TGTTAACTTTGTTGCCCATGTAGGGATAATGGTAGCCCTTCCTATTCCTTAAACAATTTAAGGGCACAATCTATAGCAGAGGAGAAGTATATGTCCTATCGCACTTATTAGCAGGAGGATTATATCCACTGCTCTTATTTAATTACAGATAGTCTGACTTTTCTGAATTAATTTTGTATTCTGAAAAGGAGTAAAATATTTCTATTTTTTTTATGATCTTAGGTAGATATAACATTGGATCAGAGATGGACAAAAGCAAGTCATCCACACAAAATATATAATGAGCTGTTGTTTGACTTGGTTCCTACCAGTATACCAGGAAATTGTTTTCTAAGTAAATGTGCTATGGATTTCATTGCCAAGTTAAAAAATCAAAGGTGAAAGTGATCACTTCTGTCTTAACCTCTGTGAAACCTCCACCACCGAGTGCCCCTAATGTCTGGACACATAGGAAATATCACTAACTATATCTTTTTTTCTCAATATGCACTTTGCCTATGTGTCCAGACTTTAGGTTCACCCTGTATTTTAAAGATTTGTCTATTTATTATTAATCTATTGTTGGAAGTCTGAAACAGGTCTCCATTTAATGCTGTCAAACAATCTCACTTTCCAGCATTCTCTAAAATTCAGAACTATATCCATCTGGTCCAGGGGTCTTAAAATCTGAAAGATTATCACTTATATCCCTCATTTATTTTTGTGTTACAGCAGCATTTAATTTTTCTACCTGACTGCAATCTAGTTAATTTAATTTACATTGGTCCCGAAACTGAACTTTATTAAAAATAATTGAACTTCATTGAAATCATTAGAGGGAATAGATTTATAAAGGTTGGTATAAAATTCTCTGAATGTGAGAGAACTATAAATAATTTGGCTAGATGGACCAGGTATGGTAATAAACCAGGAAGTCTAAATTGGTCAAGAAAAAAAATTGTCACATACAGTATTATCATCAGGATAAGAAATAAAGATGGACAAGTTGTAAGTACACAAGAAGATATTGAGAACACTTTCTAGTATTATTAAATATTCCTCCTATTTTCTCTAGTATTTAAATATTCCTCATGGTCCTTCTTTGAGTGATGCATAGTGAATTTATTATAAGCTTCTTTAATCTCTTTGCTTAATTCTTCTAAATGCACACATTGCTTTTTATTATAATGAGCTAAATAAGCAATAACAAGTCCCCTAAGAAGTCCCCTAAGAACCATTTTTAATGTTTGCCAAACTAACAATGGATTACCTTTGTGTATTTTATTATCCCTCGTAAATTTGTGTCCGTGTCTAAAAAACCGAAACTAAAGTTGTAATTTTATTTCAGGAAAACTGTGACTCTCCACTCAGACTCCTTCTTTCTTTCCTAGATCCTAAATACGTAGCCATTTGGGTGTAATTGTAGTGCATTATATTGTGAAATTTAGTGTTGATTCTAGTAATCAAAACATTTACCAATTCTAAAAATTATTCAAACTTTTCAAAGAAAATGTTTTCTTGGAAATTTTAATCTTTGTGTTTTGAGTGGGCCCCTCCAATTTACTCAAGTATTTTTCAATGGATTGGATTTTATTAAAGTCCCCATGTGAAAATTAAATCACCTTTTTCCAAAACCCTTATGACCCCTCTGAACCATGAGGGGAAAAAAATCAATTTCAATTTACTGAGTGCTTATAAACTATACCTGTCTATTTTCAGGCACCCGATTTACAATGACAAATCTTTACCTACTTCAACCCTCAAAGTATCCATTGGGAGCCCTCTTCTGATCAGAATTGGGTGGGTAGGAAATGTAAAAACTCTCCCCTACCCATACTTTCTTACTTCTGGACCCATATGATGTGCCTGTAAACAAAAACTATCAGTTTTATCTTTACAGCAAAACGTATTATTTGTCTTTTCCATCCAATAGGCCCGTGCTTTTCCCAAAGTCTCTATACTTTAGTCTGGTTTAAAAATTCTTGAATCACTGGCCTTTGATCAGTCTCCAAGCATAATGTGGCTGGATACAAGAACATAAAACTTTTTTTCTGACAAATATCTACAAAATGAATGACTTACCTTAATTTAAATTGGGCAGGAGCCCCAGCTGACGTCATTGATAAAATATGGTCATTACCATATTTGATCACTGACATTAGCAGGCACCTTAGTCAGTTTGTTTACATTTAGCAGCTGGCTGGGAAGACATCATTTGTGTCAGAGTATTAACGGGAGAGGATCATCATGGGACATTTACTTCATGGGACATTACTTTTTGAACTTCATGAAACTTTTTTTTTCAATAAAGAACTTCTTCTATGCTGTATGTGTGTTTATTTGCTATGTATTTTTTTAAACCGCTTTCCCCGCCGCCCAATAGCAGATATGCTGCTACCGGGCAGCAGGGGTGCAGAAAATAGCGTATACATATGCAAGCCATGCGTGCACCCTACTCACACCGCCATCCGTGGCCACGGATGTCAATCACCATGTCCCGGCTGGTGATTACCCCCTGGCACCCGGTGATTACCGAGCATCTCCAACGAGGAGGAGGACTGTTTTGTTTACTAACAGTTCTTCTCCCTGTCGGCTCTAGCATACTGCTTTGAATGGCTGTGCACAGCCATGCAAAGCAGTGTGCTTATAGCGAAGCACACTAACACGGCCCCCTAGTAAAACACTCCCTGCACAGTTAACCCTTTGAGCGCCCCTCATGTTAACCCCTTCCTGCCCGGTGCCATTAGTACAGTTTCAGTGCTTTTTTTTTAGCACTGATCACTGTATTGGTGTCCCTGGAGATGTCACTGACACCAAGTCAGTTCCCCCCAGTGTCAGAATGTTCGCCACAGTCCCGCAGTCCCACTATAAGTCACTGATTGCTGCCATTACTAGTAAAAAAAAAATTCCAGTAGCTATACCGCCATTTGTAAATGCTATATAACTTTCACGTAAACCAATTAATTTACACGTATTGGGAATTTTGTTAGCAAAGACATGTAGCAGAATACATTTTGGCCTACATTTATGATGAAATTTGATTTTTAAAATTTTTTTACTGGACATGTTTAATTGCAAAAAGTAAAAAAATATTTTTTTCTCAAAATTGTAGGTCTTTTTTTTTATAGCGCAAAAATAAAAAAATGCACAGGCGACCAAAGCCACCGAAAGAAAGCTCAATTTGTGGGAAGAAAAGGAAGTGAATTTCATTTAAGTGCAGCGTTGTATGACCACGCAATCGTCAGTTAAATTAACACAGTGCTGTAACGCAAAAAATGGCCTGGTTAGGAAGGAGGGTAAATCCTCAAGAGGGAAAGTGGTTAAGGGGACCCCTTGCAATAAACAAAAAAAGGCATGAGGTCCCCCAGAATACCAGACAATAATCCAAGCATACAGCCTGGCTGGCCAGGATTTCACTATCAGCACTAGTAATGAGAGAACTGTCCTGGTTTCAGTTCACATGACATTTTCACAATACAGCCTAAAATCTGCAAACTCCAAATATAGTGCCTGAACCTCATTGAAGTCTATGGAAGTTGAATCTTATTTTTTCTGGACTTTTTCAAGTTTAATTTGCAAGCTATTGTTAAAAAGGGCTTGAGTAGCTGCCCTGCTTTTGCCATCCCCTACATTCATCGTGTCAGGGATGTGGGGAAGATGATCTTGCCCCTATCAACATGGGGAAAAAAGGGTCTTAGCCAGAGGTCTCCCCTCACAAAGGTACCCTTGCAATGTTGAGGACATGTGGCATGGTATGTTTGCGTAGCTAGCCAGACTACATGCTCAAAAAAGGATCTAGTATGGATTTTGGGGGGATGCCCATGCAATTTTTGTGTTTTTTGTGTGTGGTCCCCCTTAAAAACCTGCAGGGTCTGATATGGGTTTTTGGTGGGTCCACAACACGTTTTTGTTTATCTGTGTATCTGGGATATTAGCCTACAGTTGAACTCTCATATATATGAAACTCTTAGGTTTCATCCATATAACATAACTTCTATGATAATAGAGTTACCTCTCTAAAAAGTGGCTACTCTAATGCGTAAGTTTAAAATACCGTATTGTCTCAATATTTTGTTAACTTGTATCGGTGAGAAAAGTCCAAAATAGAAAGTCCTTCCAACTCTTGCATAAACTCAAAAATTGATTTACTAATATTACATAAAATTCGAAATAAAATATTGGAATACAGAATGTTTAGATAATGTCCAAAAAAATATAGTTAAGTTCTTGAGATAAAAAATTGTATGTAAAATTGTATGTGTATGTTAAGAATCTTCAGGCTGCTTAGCCCAGCTTCTAAATTGTGTGCCACCAAAAAGTCTTTGTTCTGCTCTATAAGGAGCAATTCAGCCCCCACCTTCTCCTAAAAGTGGGCTGGTTTTCTTTTCTGTCTCTTTTAGTCCTACAATGATATTTGGCAACAGATGTATAGAACAAACCCTTCAATCTTCTCCCCTCCCCTAGGAGAGAGTCTGAATTGTAATCCTTGCGGAATGTGTTACAAATATATACCGTATTTTCCGGCGTATAAGACGACTTTTTACCCTTGAAAATCTTCTCAAAAGTCGGGGGTCGTCTTATACGCCGGTAACGGCATGCTGACACTTTTTAGGGGGGCGGCACGGTGCCGCCGCTGCCCCCCCTTCCAACAGAAGGAACACTAAGTACAGGGGTGGGCAGGGGCTGCTGTCTCTTACCTGGCTCCGGTCCCACGACGATCCGCTCCAGGAAGCGCGGCTGCTCCTTCCTTCGGTTCGTCCACTGGATGTTCGCGCGGCTGCTCGGCTCCGCCTCCTCACCGGTGATTGGCCGCCAGAACTGTAGCTCAGGAAAGGCACACAGGCGGCCAATCACCGGCGAGGAGGCGGAGCTGAGCGGCCCCCGCAAAAATCGAGTGGAGATGCAGGTAAGTGTGCCGTGCTTACGTGCTGCTGCAACCACATATGCTGGCTGCAGCAGCACCGTACTGGAACAGGGGTCAGCAAGTGTCAGTGGGAGGAATAGTGCCCCATCGTTGGTGTCACGGATACCAATGATGGGGCATTATTCCTCTCACTGACACCAACGATGGGGCACCTTTCCTCCCCCCCACTGACACCAACGATGGGGCACTATTCCTCCCCCCCCCCACTGACACCAACGATTGGGCACTATTCCTCCCCCCCCACTGACACCAATGATGGGGCACTATTCCACCCCCCACTGACACCAATGATGGGGCACTATTCCACCCCCCACTGACACCAATGATGGGATACTATTCCTCCCCCCACTGACACCAACGATGGGGTACTATTCCTCCCCCCCCCACTGACACCAATGATGGGGCACTATTCCACTGACACCAATGATGGGGTGCTATTCCCCCCCAATGATACTAATGATGGGGCACTGTTCCTGCCACTGATACCAATGATGGGGCACTATTCCTCCCACTGACACCAATGATGGGACACTATTCCTCCCACTGATACCAATGATGGGGCATTATTCCTCCCACTGATACCAATGATGGGACACTATTCCTTCCACTGACACCAATGATGGGGCACTATTCCTCCCACTGATACCAATGATGGGACACTATTCCTCCCACTGACACCAATGATGGGGCACTATTCCTGCCACTGATACCAATGATGGGGCACTATTCCTCCCACTGACACCAATGATGGGGCATTATTCCTCCCACTGACACCAATGATGGGGCACTATTCCTCCCACTGACACCAATGATGGGGCACTATTCCTCCCACTAATACCAATGATGGGGCACTATTCCTCCCACTGACACCAATGATGGGGCACTATTCCTCCCACTGATACCAATGATGGGGCACTATTCCTCCCACTGACACTAATGATGGGGCACGATTCTTCCCACTGGTGTGCACTGGAAGAGGGGTAGTCTTATACGGCGAGTATAGCCCAAACACTACATTTTAAACAGGAAAATTAGGGGGTCATCTTATACGCCCAGTCGTTTTATACGCCGGAAAATACGGTATATGATTTCTAAGTGGGAGAACTTGCAAAATCGCAGGGTGTTCAAATACTTCTGTTCCTCGCTTTATATTAAGATTACTTTTGGGAGAATATATATATTTATATACACACTGTATATATATATATATATATATATATATTCTCCCAAAAGTAATCTTAATATAAAGTTATATCATATATGAATATCTTAATAAAGAAATATTACAGTATACATTTTGTAAGCTTAACATGTATGAAATAGATTCTTACAATAGATTCTTACAATTCGCTTATTAGTGAAACTTTAACTCCTACCCACAGAGATGGGGGAGATGGGGAGGGAAAGCTAGCTAGCCAATTCATGGCTAATTACTTCCACATGTTGCTTGAATGTAGAGAAAAAACCAAGATATATATATATATATATTCACATAGCCTATGAAAAGTCTATTTATCTTACTTTTCCCAATCTAGAACAAAAAGAAATATAACAACTCAATTATTCTATTAATATCCAACACATTCATACATATGTTATTACTGTTAATAAGCAGATATTAGATATTAGGTTATGGAAAGCTTCTAACAGTAAAAAGATACCATAAATGTAGACACCAAACTATCAGGTAGGTGTCTGTGATAGTGAAGAAAAAAGGGGAGAGAACAAAGTTCCTGGTCAACTTGCCAGCTAGCTTGCCAGCAACCAAATTAACCTGTCTAACAGTATGCATTAAAAACAGGGGTTTAGTTAGCACACATTTGCAAATACATACGTAAGCCACAGAGCCACATTCACAGCACCCCAATATTCTGTGGTCCTAACTCTACAATTTCTGAGAGCCCCCATAGTAGAGGCACGTATTTAATGGATAGATCAAGGGCAGGTGGACCTGAGGGAGACCACCCCTCTTAAAGGCAAAGGAGTGCACAGGACCCCTAGCATATAGCACAATGGCAGCCAGAGTGTCCTAGTGCACCCAAGTACCTAGAATCTAACATGCAAAAAAGTGGCCACCGCCCCAGTCTATAACTGGTTTTTGCAGCAAGGACAAATGAACAGGCGACACATGTCAAAGAAAAAAGGGAAGAGATCCTGGTCAATTTTCCAGCCTTTTTTCTTTGACATGCGTCGCCTGTTCATTTGTCCTTGCTGCAAAAGCCAGTTATAGACTGGGGCGGTGACATTCATAAATATGGTATCAGTACTGGATCAGATTCAAAATACATGTTGTTGATATTGTGATGGAGGCAACAGCTTTGATGACTCTACAATATGTATTACCTTCATTATATCTCATCAAAATCATGAATGGCTTGCAGATATGAGAAATAAGTCAAACTGTTTCCAGCCACAATTGTCCGAAATCTCTTTAAGGGAGTGACATCTATTAATAGCAGTATATTACTTAATCTATAAGAAATAACATTTACATATTAATCAGATGAAAAGAAAGAATCATCAATGAATACTAAGATGTATAATGTAGCAAGGCTTATACCCCAATAAAGTCCGTGGTTGGACATGTATACAGAAAAAGTATCTAGCGTTCTGTTTTTCAATGAGGAAGATATCCTTGTATTAACATGAAAGGTATACATCTTCAAACATGGATGGCGTATTGATGTAAAGAATCTTGATCATGTAGTAACGTGGACTCATATGAATAAAAGTTAGGCCCCAAAATTTTTCTTCTGTTTAAGAGGAAGAAAGTTCCTTATGTTAAGTTATGAACAAAAAGTTCTGTATATTTTCAAATACAATCATTGCTTTGTGCATATCAAAAATGACTTGCCATTGGTGGAAGTTGTTTGTTTATGTATGGTCATACATTACTAGTAGAACTCCCAGGAGTATAATCTTTAGCTAGGGGTTTCCGTCTTGCCAGGTGAAGATTAAAGATGGAGACATGTGGCGTACATCTGCCTCCTTGTGGACATTACAGCATGGTGGTGCACAGGGTGTGATGATGTCACTAAGTTGACACGTTTTGTCCACCAATCATCACAGACTTCGTCAGAAGAGGGAGGGGACATTTTTCCATTCCTTATATAGCACAGTACTTGCATAATGTATTCAGTTTGTCGCCCTCTTGTGTTAAAATGTCATCATTACAATGTTTCCAAATCTAAAGTAAATTCTTAAAAACAACTGACATATATAGATCATTGGTAGGTGGCTAACAGTCGGCAAATATACCGTGAATTATACATTCTGATGTTCAACAGAAGACAATATAGGGGTAGATCATTAAAAACGATCATTTTCAATTATAAAGAAATGGAAGGTTATATATTGATAGGGTATTTATGGGGCATATTATTTATTTAAGGAACACTTTGAAGTTTAATTCAGTATCTAACCCTTGGGGTATCAAAGTCCTCAGCATTTAGATCCCAAATTTTTCTTTTTGTAAAAGGATTCTATCAAAGTCACCTCTTCTAGATGAAATATTAAGGAGTTAAATACCTTTCACTTTCAGGCCTTCTGTTTTACCTTGATGTACTTCCTTAAAATGTTGCGCTAGGGGGTTTTCCCTTTCTTTATCAGTTTTACCTTTTTGGTCATTCCTAATATCACGTAGATGTTCACTTATACGTACTCTTAAAGATCTTTTAGTTTTTCCTATATAAAATTTCTCACATGGGCATTCAAGCATATATATCACTCTATTACTAGAGCAATTTATAAAGTTTTTAATTGTAAAAGTTTTTGATTTATCTGCGTTGTAGAAACTTTGACTTTCTGTACATAGGGACAAATTTGACAGTGGCCACACAGAAACATACCTGCTGTTTTACCCATTTTAGTCAACCAGTTTTCTTTAGGAATTTTTCTGAATTCCAATTGTACTAAGAGATCATTTAAATTAGACGTTCTTTTTGCTACCATTTGGGGCTCATTTTCCACTATCTCTGCTATACCTGGATTAGCAGTTAGTATATGCCAATGAGAATGCAGTACTTTTTTTTTTGATTGACTGTGTGTTCACCATGTCATATGCCCACCTTTCAGAGGATCCTAGTGATCACAATAAAGAAATTATTTGCATCCATTTTTTGATGTAGCAGTTTTCTCTGGATTGGATTTAAAATACCATTCTTTCTGCAGTTTGTTCTAGTCAACTGCTTATCTTTTTAGTATCAGATGCTTACCTTATGGCAAATGAAGTAGGGAAAAGAAATGCATGAGGCCAATCACACTATTAAACCATGCCATAAGACTCCAACCTGCCATCTTTAGCAGCATCCTGAACCATTCAGGTATCTCTTCTGTAGTTGCTAGAGTGGAAAAAAAATATCCCTGAGTCACTCCCATACCCTTCTGATAGGCTATGGCCTGTGCTATATCACAGTGGCAGGTTCTCAACTGACATATTTTTCCCCCGACTCCCCATGACCACAGACATATGGTCCAGCATAAAGTAGAAAAGGGTAGTTGTCACCGGTTCTGAGATGCTAATAGGATAAAAGTCCATAATGTCACTGTTGATGGGGTAAGAATAAGGAGGGATACTCCACTAATGGCAATAACAAAAAAAGAAATAGATAGGCACTATGATTATAAAGCTTAGTACATATAACAAATATTTCACAAAAAAAAATTCTCAAAAAATATTAAAAAGATTCTTTTTTTGTGCTAGCAACAAAAAAATATGTTTTGTTGGATCCCAAATAATATCTATATCAATGTGAATGCATTACTGATACATATACTGTAGTAGCAACCAAATATGACAGTCTCATCACGACATGGTGCCAAAAAACATAAGTCCTTGAGTCTTCACCACGTGCCTATAATTAAGTGAATTGCTCACTCACTGAACCTGTTTTACCCCAATTAAGGTGGTAAGAAGCACTTTTTGGAAAGGTGATAAAAGATCAGCCTCTGGTTGTCCTATGATAGTCATCTTAATCATCAGCACACCACAGGGTATGACATCCAGGGAGAAGATAGTGAGATTGCCACCAGACCAAGCAATACAGTGAGGAACAGAAGTATTTGAACACCCTCTGATTTTGCAAATTCTCCCACTTAGAAATCATGGAGGGGTCTGAAATTCACTTTGTAGGTGCATTCCCACTCTGAGAGACAGAATTAAAAAAAAAAAAATTCAGGAAATCACATTTTATGATTTTTTAAAGAATTTCTTTGTCTTGCATTGCTGAACATAAGTATTTGAACACCTAAGAAACAGCAAGAATTCTGGCTCTCAAAGACCTGTTACTGTGCCTTTAAAAAGTCCACCTCTACTTCACTCATTAATCTAACTTAGTAGGCGCCTGTCTGAGCTCTTTAAAAACACCTGTCCACCCCACAGTCAGTCAGACGCCAACTACTACCATGGGCAAGACCAAAGAGCTGTCAAAAGACACCAGAGACAAAATTGTGGACCTCCACAAGGCTGGAAAGGGCTACGGGGCAATTGCCAAGTAGCTTGCTGAAAATAGATCAACTGTTGGAGCAATTGTTAGAAAATGGAAGAGGCTAAAGACGACTGTCAGTCTCCCTCGGACTGGGGCTCCATGCAAGATCTCACCTCGTTGGGTATCACTGATGATAAGAAAGGTGAGGAATCAGCCCAGAACTACAAGGGAGGAGCTGGTCAATGACATGAAGAGAGCTGGGACCATGGTTTCAAAGGTCACTGTCGGTAGAACACTACGCCGTCATGGTTTCAAATCATGCATTGCACAGAAGGTTCCCCTGTGCAAGTCATCACATGTCCAGGTCCGTCTGAAGTTTGCCAATGACCATCTGGATGATCCAGAGGAGGCATGGGAGAAAGTCATGTGGTCAGATGGGACCAAAGTAGAACTTTTTGGTCTAAACTTTACTCGTCATGTTTGGAGGAAAAAGAAGGATGAGTTGCATCCCAAGAACACTATCCTTACTGTGAAGCATGGGGGTGGTAACATCATGCT